AAGGTCCCAGTGTGGATGTGGCACATGGGGACAGGGAAGGTCCCAGTGTGGATGTGGCACGTGGGGACAGGGTGAGGTTCCAGTGTGGATGTGGCACATGGGGACAGGGAAGGTCCCAGTGTGGATGTGGCACGTGGGGACAGGGTGAGGTTCCAGTGTGGATGTGGCACGTGGGGACAGGGAAGGTTCCAGTGTGGATGTGGCACGTGGGGACAGGGAAGGTTCCAGTGTGGATGTGGGGTTAGTGCTGCCCTTGGCAGCGCTGGGGAATGGCTGGACTCTGATCTCAGAGGGCTTTTCCAGCCCCAAGGATCCCATGGTTCTGGGAGCACGGCTCTGCCTGGGCCAGCCCTGGCTCAGCCTTGTTTCCCTCTTTGGGGTTCCTCAGCATCCTCTGTGCTGCAGGAGGGAGCCAAAATCCAGATTAAAAAGGGGCACGGGCACATTTATGGGTCCTTGTGCTCTGCAGATGTTCTGGTGTGATGTGGAGCTGCTCTGCTGTTTTTCCCCCTCCTATTTAATAAAAATTAAATAGGAAACTGCCGGTGTCTTGCCCTTTGTTTAAAGAAGAGAAAAAAGGAAAAAAAAAAAAAAGCACTTCCTGCATTTTCTGTGGCTCTGAAGTTAATAACCCCAGACAGCACAGGTAGCAGGCCTGCAGTTATTTTTATGGCACATTCCTGTGTCAGACCTGTTTTCAGTTGCTTCTCCTTTGCCAAATTTTAATTATTTGGGGTGAAATTTTCCATGCTGGGTGCTGCTGGCTCCTTCCAAAATTGAATCTGTGGTTTGTGTTTGGACAAAATTACTCGGCTGTCCCTGGGAAGGCGTTTGGGGGAAGCAGGGTGGGGGTTTTGGGTTTTTTTCCTTTTTTTTTCCTCAGGTAAACAAACAACTCTGCCCTTTTCCCTCTGCAGAGGGAAGGTGCTGTGGGAGAGGGGCGAGTGGGGTCTGCTCCTTCTGCAACCCCCAGGCAGAATCAGCGACCTCTCCCTTTGGAATGGGGTTCAGAGGCAAATCACAGGGGTGGCTGTGTCTGAATAAATAAATGAATGCATGGATTGAGCCCTTTTTTCCTCTGGAAGGGCTGTGGCAGTGCTTGGGGGTGTCCCTGTGCCCCCATCCCATCCATGGGAGCTGATCCAAGCATGGATGCAAATCCAAGGGATTGGAATAATTGTTTCTAATCAGAATTTAAGTGATCAGGCAAAAAAGCCTGTGCTTAAATCGTCTGAAATATCATCTCACATTTTTATTGCTTTAAGTTATTTTTTAGTTTTGCTGTAACTGTTAAAATGTTGGGGTTTTTTCCCAATATAGTGTAGCCCTCTTGATAAACATGGATTTCTCAGGTCAGTTTTACATCTGCTTGGTCTCCTATTTTTTGACATGTTATCCTGTTAGGAGATGTTGACTGATACATTTCTTAATTATCACATGATTTACTTTTTGCTTACAACTCGAGCTGAGGAGCATATGGCCTGAAACCACATTCTGCTTGTGTGCATTTTCATTTAAAGGATATTTATTAGCATTAGTTAAACAAAACTCCCCTAAACGCACCCAATATGTAGAAAAGCAACTTCAGGGAGTAACACTTTGAATTGGAAATGATTTTATGGGGCAGATTGTGTGACATTCTCCAGCCTGTTCCAGCACCCCACATCCGGCCTCCCTGGCATCAGCAGATGAAAATTCTGCTCCTCTCCTTTTTTAATCACAAATTAGGAAATCACCAAAATCAATTCTTTGGGTAAATGGGAGTGCAGGAGATTCTAAAGGAGCACAGGAGATTTCTGTTCCCCTCCACAAAGGTGTTGCTTTGTTGGGGCTGCTCTGACCCATTTTGGCACATTCTGGTTAAACAGTGATTTCCAGCCTTTCACTCTTCCAATTCCTCTGGTATTGTAGTCCTCAAATGCCACTTTTTAGAATTTAGGTGGAATATTTTGGTTTAAATGGATTTTATTTTTGAAGGAACAGGCTGGGAGAGCTGAGGGTGCTCACCTGGAGAGGAGAAGCTCCAGGGAGAGCTCAGAGCCCCTGCCAGGGCCTGAAGGGGCTCCAGGAGAGCTGGAGAGGGACTGGGGACAAGGGATGGAGGGACAGGACACAGGGAATGGCTCCCAGTGCCAGAGGGCAGGGCTGGATGGGATATTGGGAATTGGGAATTGTTCCCTGTGAGGGTGGGCAGGCCCTGGCACAGGGTGCCCACCCTGGATCCCTGGCAGTGCCCAAGGCCAGGCTGGATAGGGCTGGGAGCAGCCTGGGACAGTGGGAAGTGTCCCTGCCATGGCAGGGGTGGGAAGGGATTTAAGGTCCCTCCCACCCCAAAGCAGTCTGGGATTCTGTGGATTTGTTTATTTCAGCATCCAGAAAACATTTAAGGCAGCTTGATCTGATCTCATTCAGGCTTAGTTTGGTGTTTTTGTCTAATGGATCATCTCCAGGAGCAACCTGCCTGGTGAAGCCATTGAGATGAGAGCCCTTACCTGCTGTAGTTCCCTTTTTTTCTCATTTTTTTCTTTCAAAATAAGAAAATTCCCCAGCACTGGGAATTGTTGGGGTGTCTGCAGGGCCAGGGCTGGCTTCCATCACCCTCATGGCTCAGAATATCCTTCCAGCTCTGGATATTCCATGGTTCCATGATTCAGTAGGTGCTTTTCCCATGGAATTCTCATGGCAGGAGCCTCACAAGGTCCCTGTGATCCAAGATGTGGCTCTTGGCTTGTGTGAGCTTGGGTTGTGCACAAACCCCTTTGTACAGGCAGGAATTGTGAGATTCCCATCTCTGGGATCCCCAGCACCCCAACAAGGTTTCTGCCCTGGTTCTATATTAAATCTCCTTTTTCCCCTTTCCCCCCTTTTCCTTGTACACAGATCTAATCTTCTAGAAAATGCCCCAAAGGTTTGAGCAATCTACCAGTTGCAGGAACCCATAAAGCTTTTTTTTTTCCTTTTTTTTTTCCATTGTGTAAGCATGACAAATCATTAATTTTTGATTGATTGCTTTGAATTATGGGTGCTCTGACATCCTTTCTGTAGCTGAACAGCTGTATAACAAATGAACATATCAGTGCTCACAAAAGATTGGAGATCTAACAGAAGCAATTACATTGTCAGCTCCTCCCTTCTGGCTTTTCCCAGGCAATGGAGAGAAGAAATTTTTTAACAGAAATTCCTCAAGTGGCTCACAATAATAATAATAATAATCATCATCATCATAATCATCATAACAAAATACCTTTTTGTAATTGAATTAGATTTTTATCTCTTCATTTCCAGTGGATTTTATATCCCTTCAGAAACCAGGTTGCGTTTCTGCTTTGTGTAACTTGGACAATCCCTTTGAAGAAAATTTTACATGAAGAATTAAAAAAAATAAAACCAAATTGCAATTTTTTTTTGTTGCTATTCCTTTAAGATTTCAGAATTGCACCAGTGCACTAAATGTGACCTCCATAACTTTTAAATTAAGAATTTATGCTGGCTTGAAATTTATGAAATATTTCAGCATGAAAGAAAGCCTTTTTCCCTCAGGAAAATTGAGCAATAAATCACAGCACTCTCGATTTACTGCCCTACAGCCAGCCAAAGATAGGATTTTTTTCCTTCCCCCCTTCGTTCTGAAAAAAAAAAATATAAAAAAAATGTAATCATATAAGACAGCTTAGCTGCTATCCTCCCACTCTCTAGAATTTTTAATTTCAGCTGTTTCTGCTTGGATTTATTTCCAATATTCCTGCTCGGCTTTTCAATTTCCTCAGTTATTAAATTTTAATTCAGTGCATTAGCATTTAAATTAAAAAAGGGTTTATTTTATCGAAATCGTTGGCTGGCCCCCATCCTGCTGCACATGAATTGCCTGTTTCTGCCATTTGCACAAAATGTGAAATGCAGCTAATATCTTTTAACTTGTATTTGCACAAATTCAGAAATAAAATTTCTGGGATTGGAATAATATTGTCTTTCCAAGGAAGGCTCTCATCAGTGAGCTGGGAAAGGAGCAAGAGGAGACCCTGGGCCCTCCCTGCTCAGCCCTGCCAGGGCCTGCAGGGGCTAATTAGGGCACAGGGCTAATGAGGGGAGATGTTGGGCCTGGAGGGGCCATTCCTGCATGGCATTGGGACAATTTGGCCATTCCTGATTTCCCACCTGGCTCTGCATGCCAGGGATCACTGCTGGAGACTTGGTGGGGATGGGCTGGGGAGGCTCAGAGCCTGCTCAGAGCTGGGCCTGGGGCGTGTGTGCAGCTCTGGGGTACCCCAGGTTTGGGCTGGAGAGCAGCCTCATCCTTCTGAACCTAACCAGCTCTTCTGTTTTCATCTCCTAGGCCGAGGAGAGCAACAGCAGCGGGCGGAGGAGCTCTTCCAGCAGGTAGGGCTGGGATGTGCTGGGTGGGTCAGCTCTGCTCAGTTGTGCTCTCCACCCTGGAGATGGGGTGGCCAAAGGTGGGATGGGTGTCAGAGCTGTGTCCATGCAGCCCTCTCTGGATATGGCTGGAAGGATGGTGTGGGAGGCTGGCCTCATCCTGGCACTGGGGACTGAAAGCAGAGGTGGTTTGTGTGTGCTGTGGGGAGTTCCAGCTGAGTGCCCCCTTGGGCTGGGCAGACCCTTCTGTCCTTCAGAAGGAGAGGACAGAGGTGTCCCACCACCCCCTTCCCCTCTGGTCCCACTGAGAGGTGTCTCTGCTGCCCCCACTCTGGAGAGGGACACGCTGAGGTGGGTCTGCCCTGGGCTGTGGCCTCACAGAGTCACTGGGTTGGAAGAGACCTTCAGGATCATCGAGTCCATCCCAGTCCCAACACCTCAACTCAGCCCTGGCACCCAGTGCCACATCCAGGCTGTGTTAAACACACCCTGGAGGGACAGGAGGGATGGGGACTCCTCCTGTCCCTCCAGGGCCCTGAAAGCCCTGTGAAAGTTTCATTCCTGAGATAAAACTGATCCTGCTGTGTAAAAGCACATCCAGAGAGATCTGGGAACCGCTGTGGTGCTGATGCCCTCCCTGCCTCCCCCTGCTGACCGTGCAGCCCCTGCTGGGTCTGATGGTCCCACTGTGCTGGCTGGTCCCTGCCCAGTGCCCCAGCTCTGCCAATGGCATTTCAGGACAAAATCCCCTCATTCCTGGGAGCTTTTTGTCCAGTTGGCACTGCTTGGCATTGAACACATCTGGGGTGCCCCTGAGCTGGGCAGAGAGGAACACTGGGTGTCTGTCACAGGAGACTTCTCTGTCTCACTTTGGGGTGGCTCCCCTGTGGCCCAGCAGTGCTGGCTCACTGAGAGTCAGCCTGAAGGAAGTCTTGGAAAGAAAGCACAAGCTGAGGAGCAAGGGGAGAGGAGCCAGGCATCACTTCCTTCCCCTCGATTCTTTATTCCAATCTTTAATTCAGTTTTGCAGCTCTCACTGGAGGGTTTCCCACAGCAGGTGGGCAAGTGCATCCTCCATGTGGGAGCTGACCTTTGGAGGGTCCATGTCACCTTTGGAGTGTCCATGTCACCTTTGGGGTGTCCGTGTCACCTTTGGGGCATCCATCTCATTTTTGCAGTGTCCATCTCATCTTTGGAGGGCCCATCTTACCTTTGGGGTGTCCATGTCCATCTCACCTTTGGAGTGTCCATTTCACCTCTGGAGTGTCTATGTCACCTTTGGGGAGTCCATCTCACCTCTGGAGTATCCATCTCACCTTTGGAGTGTCCATCTCAACTTTGGGGTGTCCATGTCACCTTTGGGGTGTCCATCCCACCTTTGGGGTATCCATCCCATCTTTGGGGTGTTCATGTTGCCTTTGGGGTATCCATCCCACCTTTGGGGTGTCCATCTCACCTTTGGAGTGTCCATGTCACCTTTGGGGTGTCTGTCCCACCTTTGGGGTGTCCATCCCACCTGCCTGGGCTGCCCTTGGGGCTGAACATCCTCCCAGGAGTGAGCAATGGCCCTTTCCAGGGCAGGGATGGAGCTCCAGGCGAGGTGGGAGAACTTCCCTCCCTGTTCCTTTGTGTGTCCAGAGGAGTGTGAGGCTGGCTGTTGCTTTTTTCCTTGTAGAAAAGGTGAAACAAAACCCACTTTGTCATCTACCTGACTGAACAAAACGTGGTCAAAAAATGGAGAATGACCAAGTCCATTTAAAAATAATAAAACAGAATCAAAATGTAATATTTCAAGAAAGCTGTGTCAGTGATTGAAGGTGGAAATGTGGCTCTGACTGAATCTGTGAGGTCATCAGTGGATGGAGACACAAGATGGATGTTTCTCAAAGCCATTGCTGCTTAAAACCCTCACTAATTGCAAACTATCGAGGAAGCTTTTAGCAATTAATTTGTATCAGTAAAAATACAAGCAAAAATAATATATAATAGAATATAGTATAATATAATATAGTCTAATGTAATTAATATAATATAATATAATATAATATAATATAAGTTTCCTGGATTTTATCTTCCTGCAATATTTTTTTTTTCACAGTAGCAGGCTTGCTCTAAGGTGATGACTGTGATATTGGGTCAATCCTATTTTTCTTTTTTTACTGCAGTGAATTGATTTTATTCTTTTCAAGCAAAGCCTGGAAGCTCTGGAGGCCCAGGGGTTTGTGCTCCCCTCACCCCCAGCCCCAGGCCTGTTGCTGCCTTTGGAAGAGCAGGGGCCAGGGTGTGCAGCTGGCAGCTCCTGGTGGCAGAGAGCACTCCCTGTTCTCCTCCCCCATTGACTCCTGTGTGCTTGCTGCCCCTCACTGAGTGCTCAGCAGTGGGAGATTTTAAAAGGTGAAGACAATTCTTAGGAGCACAAAAAGCCCTCTTCCTAGAAGGCAGCCAGAAGAGAGATGGCTGCTTGCCTTGGGGAAGATGACAACTAAGAGACAACCTGACAAAGCTGTGCATGTTTTTGAACACTCCAGAAAAGGTAGATCAGAGGCTTCTTTCTTCCTTTTGCAAGGAAAAAAGAGACAGTCAACAAAATTAAAAAGCAGCAAATTAAAAGCCAGTAAAAGGCAGGATGTTTTCCTGCATGATGGGCAGCAATGTGATGGGAGTGTGATGGCAGGAGCTGCTCAGAGGGGCTGGGAATGGAATCAGCAGGAACACGGTGACAGGGGTGACAGGGGCTGGATTCACAGGATCCCACACTGCCTTGGGTTAGGAAGGACCTTAGGGATCATCCAGTGCCAGCCCTGCCATGGCAGGGACACCTCCCACTGTCCCAGGCTGCTCCCAGCCCTGCCCAGCCTGGCCTTGGGCACTGCCAGGGATCCAGGGGCAGCCACAGCTGCTCTGGGCACCCTGTGCCAGGGCCTGCCCACCCTCACAGGGAACAATTCCCAATTCCCAATATCCCATCCATCCCTGCCCTCTGGCAGTGGGAGCCATTCCCTGGGTCCTGTCCCTCCATCCCCTGTCCCCAGTCCCTCTCCAGCTCTCCTGGAGCCCCTTCAGGCCCTGGCAGGGGCTCTGAGCTCTCCCTGGAGCTTCTCCTCTCCAGGTGAGCACCCCCAGCTCTGCCAACCTGGCTCCAGAGCAGAGGCTCCATCCCTTGGAGCAGCTCCATGGCGTCCTCTGGACTCATCCAGCAGCTCCAGTCTTGTGTTGGAGGCCCCAGTGCTGGACATGGTCTGGTCCCATCCTGTGGGTGAGCACATGGCGGGGATCAGTTCCTTGCTGGTGTCCACTGGAGACTTGCTTTAAGCTTCTTCTGAAGCCCCTTGTGCACAGGGCGGGTGTCCTGTGTGGTGTGTGACAGTCCCAGGCTTGGTGGGACAGGAGGGCAGTGTGGGAGCAGCACTGGCAGCTCTGGGCTCAGGGTGAGCACTGGGAGTCTCCATAGGACTATTGGAGCACTAACAACTTCCCAATAATTAATGCCAGCGTTCAGATGGTGGGATCTGGATCCTGACAAGAAATAATTGAAAAACCAAATGTGCAATTATGTCTGACAAGCAGCGTGTGCTTTTCTTGGTCACCAGAGCCTTGTGTAGTCATGTGTTAGACACGGTTTTATATAATTATTATTGTTTATATGGCGGGTGTCAGAGGAAGGAGGAATTTCAGTTTGGAGTCCTCTGTTGGCTATTTATTTTAAAGTCATTAGATTTGTTTTCAGACTTAACTACACTTAATGTGCGAGACTCCTGCTGAATAAATCAGGCCCTGCTCTAGGAGCTGCATCTGTTTGGAGGGATCGGAGCCAGCTGGGAGCTCAGCCCAGGGCTCTCGGCAGCACAGATGTAGCTGTGGAGGAGCTCAGAGCTCTGCTCCTGGAGCTGGGGCAGTCCAGGGCTGCAGCTGCACCCAGGGCAGGGCTGCCTCTCCTTTAGGGCAGTGCTGACAGCGCTGGGCTGCAGCTCCCACAAAGGGCTCAGAGCTGCAGGTCCAGAGCAGGCTCTGGGTGCTGGCCCAGCTGGAGCAGGGCAGGAGTTCCCAGGGGTGCCTTGGGTTGGCCTGGGGGTTCCCAGCTCTGCCATGGTGCAGTTTTCCCAGGTACTTCAGACCAAGCCGTGGTGCCTCAGGGGTCTGAGTGCTTCAGTCTGTGCCATAGAAGATGTGACGCCCATGGAATCACACAATCCCTGAGCTGGAAGGATCCACCAGGATCACTGAGCCTGTCCCTGCACAGACACCCCAACATCCCACCCTGGGCATTCCTGGGAGCAGTGTCCAAATGCTCCTGGAGCTCTTGGGGCTGGGACCATTCCTGGGGAGCCCTGGGAGGAGAAGCGTCACAGACATCTTTTCATTAAAATCTTTTTGTTAGCATCTTTCCTGCTGAGGCTGAGAGGTTTCAGCAACAAAGTGTGAACAATGATTATCTGCTGCTGTGGAATGCAACAGGTGCATCTGTGATTGGTCTCCTGTGGATGTTTGGATTTACTGACCACTCATGGCAGAGCTGGGTCTCGCTCTCTGCTGAGACACAGACCTTTGTTATTCATTGTTTTCTATTCTTAGCTTAGCTAGCCTTCTGAGAACTTTTCCTTCTATTTCTTTTTAGTACAGTCATAATGTAATATGTATAATAAAATAATAAATCAAGCCTTCTGAACATGAAGTCAACATTCTCATCTCTCTCTCACCCTGAAGACCCTTGTAATCACTGTGGCAGAGAAGCTGTTGGGAATGTGTTGCACCCACTTTGCTCCTTCTCAGTTCACCTTTCTCCAGCCTCTCTGGTGGCACCTTCCCCTCTCTTCCCTGCATTCCTTGCTCAGTCCTGTGTGAACACATCCTCCCCAGCAGCTCCTGTCACCCAAGGGAGTGCCCTGGGATGGCAATAACTCTTCTTCAGGCTCCTCTTCCAGCTCTGGGCCCCCAGCACTGGGGAAGGACAGTTCCTGAGGCTGTGGTCCTCTGAAGCTCGGGAGAAAACTCTACACCTTGTGGAG